TGCCAGGCTGGCAGTTCACAGGGGTGAGAGAGCCTCAGGGTGTGCCTGCCCTGGGCAGGCCAGGCTTTGCACTAGAATACAAATGGGCACTCACAGAGGAGCGTAACCATCATGCTGCCTCCCTCCTTCCCCATCCACATGGCCCATTTTTTTTCTGCATGGTGCTCAGCTCTAACAAAGTGGCACATGAAGAGCCTGTTGGGCAGTATTGCCCACAGCAGAGTATTTTGCTGGTAGAGAATTGTGAATGGAATCTCTTCTCCCTCTCCAAACTTGCTGCTTCATGGCTGACCTAACAAGAGCATGGGACCGGTCCCTGGGGGACTCCAGGATGGTGATGAGACCATCTTTTCTTATCCCATCTGGAGTTTCTGTCCCAAACACTTACTGTATTACAGCCATTTCTGACCTAAATGGCACTTACAGCTCTGCTCTGGCATCTTAGAGTAGAAAGGAGCAATATTTTCCTCCTTATGCCTGGGAAAAGTGTGGATTGTGGTAGAAAGCTTACACTCTGCCTCCAGGTCCTGTCTCTTCACCTGTGCTGGCTTGTTTTGCATGGAAACACTGTGTAGGCAGCATTATTGTTGGTCTGCAACAGAGGACGAGGAGGCTGAAAACAAATGCAGCAGCCAACTGAGTTACACTGGGAGAGGTGTGAGATTAGGCTGGTGGATTCTCTGAAACCAGAGCAAAACAGTTTTGGTATCATTTAACACAGAACACAGCTAGGCTTGGAGTCCCACAGCCACACTGGAATATTGCAACTCCTTACTAAACTTTCTCTTTGAAAGAGCTGCCAAATGACTCGTGCAGCTGGCGGTCTTCAGAGCACTGCTGAGAGGCAGAGGATGTTTTGGAGGGTTTGTACACTACTGAAGTGGATTTAGCAAATTAAGGAGTGTATTGGCAGGTGGCTCAGGCCTCCCCCAGTTAATGCTGCTGCTGCTACTCTTGCTGCACAGAACTCAGTCCTTACCACCCCATCTTCTGAACAAAACTGTGCTCCCTGCAGTGATGTGGAGCTCTGAAAACAGGTTTGGGTGAGCCAAAATGGAAGATATCTAAGGGAAACCTGGAACCGTGTTGTTGGCACAGTGGTTCCAAACAGCTTTGGGTGCTGCCAAATTCAGCTGAAGCACGAGCACTCAGCATAAAAGATGTAGCTGAACTCTAAGCTGTGAAAAATAACGGTTGGACGCAGTTCTGAAACTTTCTTTAAATCAACTTCCAAGTCTGCTCTGTCTCTTCTGTGCTGTATTATTTAAATTTATTTATTTTTTTCATTTCAGTCAAAAACTAAACCCAAGAGAGTAAAAGCAATTTACAACTGTGTAGCAGATAACCCAGATGAGCTGACTTTTTCAGAGGGAGATATTATTGTAGTTGATGGTGAAGAAGATCAGGAGTGGTGGGTGAGTATTTTGCATTTTATGTCAACACACTTAAAAAGAAAGAAATGAAATCTAGAGGTTGACACTGACTTCATAAGATCACCTGCTGGGTTTCCAAATAAAAGAAACGTTTCATCTCATGAAAACTTGATTGCAGAAATTAATTTTGTTCAGAAAAAATCAAACTTCAGACAAGCTTTTAGCTTTTCTCTCATTCAGAAAAAAAAATAATCTAATTAATAGGGTACACAGTATATGGGGGACATGGTCTGCGTGATCCAGAAAATTTTTCGGGTGGTGTCAGCAATTTCAGAATCTGCTACTATTAGAGATGCTGTATAGTGGGCCTCAGAAGAGAGCTTTGTATTGTCCTAATTCTTCAGCTGACTGAGATTGAGTCTATTTGAGCAGGGAAACCATCTCAACTATTTACATTCCAGAGTCTCATCAGCTAAAGCAAAATCTTGGAAAATTATTGTGCATGAAAACACTTGCCCTAATCTGTTAACTAGCAAAGAACAGGGCTGCAAATTGCATCTAAATTGACAATAATGCTGTATAAACATAAATACATCCATGTGAAGCCCAAAACAGCTGAAGTTTGATACACCCCTTTACCTTGCAGTGATTAAAGAAGCAACTTAACAGAGGCTGAGATGAGCTGCCAGGCATTACAGATTGCACTGAAATGATGCAGCAGTGGAGGACTGAATTTTCCTATTCTCAAAAATACTCCTACTGCAGAAAAGATGTAGGGAGAGGCTTGTTGTACTACAGGCAGGAAGTTCACTGATGTTTATTTTGATGATACTGAAATAGCATTTTGAGATTTAACTTGAAAAATATCTGGACTCTTTCAGATTGGTCATATTGATGGAGATCCCAGTCGGAAAGGAGCTTTCCCTGTATCATTTGTGCACTTTATTGTTGACTAAATTGCTACTGATAAATGGAGACATTTCTCATTTCCAGCGGTCACAGAAATAAGTTTTGTTCTATTTCATTTCACCTACCTATCTGCAGACACCTTGCGAGAGCACTGCCCAAGTTCTAGGTACTGTAGTTTACTTTTTTATTGCCATCGTTCTGATTTTGGGACTTTTAAAACTTTTTTCTATGTGAAAACTTCTCATAAGCAGTTTACACTTTTAAAAAAAACCCAACTCTTCCTGTATTTTTCAAGGTGAACTGAAAAGCTTTAACAATCAAAGTTCATGTGTCTGAGTATCACAACATTATGAATGTTCTTATCGATTACTGTAATTTTATTCTACCTTTTGTAACATGACAGTGCTACAGTTCAGTGTTGCTTCCCCAGTCAAAGAAATTGCGTGTGCATCTAACAGGGCAGTGAATTTGTCCAATTCTTCAAACACCATTTGAAGTGTTGGAACCAAAACGTGCGAGCTGCTGTGTAGTTCTGAATTGGACTCATTCAGCATCTTGCCATACTGGCTGTCATCCAGGATGTCAACAGTTGCAGAAGAAATTATTTTAATCGTGTGTCTTTGGCCAGGTAAAAGTGGAAAAGTATTTCAGTTTACCACAGGAGAAACTTCTTTCTTTCAGAATGGATGTAGATATTTGCTTAAAGTTATCTGAAATCTGTTAGTCGTTGAACTTTCTAGTTCTAATTTTGTGAGCTTGAGACTGTTTTGTTTTTCTATGCTGCACGTGTGTAGAGCCTGTTTTTTGAATGTTCTTTATGTATGTTTCATCCGTTTCGGTCATTTAATGTGACTACTGCTGGTTAACTAAACTATGGCAATATTAATGAGTTACTACATTAACTCAAGGATTTGAAAACTGCATTTCCTGAAATGTACTTAACTATGATGATGGATTGCAGAGCATTTTTCTTACACTTGTCTCATTATAGCGTTTAGACTTTGTTTTTAAATTCTTGAATTTTCCTTAAATCATCCAGCAATGTGTTCACAGGGAGAACAGATTTGGTGGAACACTTAGGTAATTATCCTTGGTCAATAAGGTATCTGACACCTCACAAGTACACTATGTTATGTTCTGGTTTATAAAGTTTGTGTGCCACTACCTTGCAAACAGTGATAGTTTGCAAGTCACTCTGTATTTATATAGTATACCCACATATATGGTAGCTACACTGTTGTTAAATTTGTTTTACTGATTCGTGAGCGAAGGCTAGGCCATGGATAGTTCTGGTTGGTTGATGGAATATAAAACACCAACGCAAATCTGACGTCATTTTGATGTTTGTATATTGTGAAATTGTACCAGGTTTGGCTTATGCTACAGGAAACTGAGGCATAGGATACGAAAAATCAATGTCTAGGTCACATTGGCTTTGATCACGTTTCGTGAATATCGTATCTCTAGATTTATCAAGAGAACTTTGAATTTCTGGCAAATGGTGCTTAAATTGGCCCCTTCATATGCAATGGAAAGCAGGCCACCACCACCATATATGCTCATTTGGAGAAAAATCACATTGCAGAGGTGCTGGAAGAGCAACACTGATCTCACCTGGTGCCACCTTTCCTGAATGGTACCGTGGCTTGATGCCTCTCAGGCGTGTGGGTACAGCCACGCAGACGTGTAACTTTCACCTCTTACGTGCTGTTGCTGCAGTATAAACGGGGAACAAACTGGAATGTTTCAAGATATTTTTATTGCAAGTCGAAGCAAATTAGTCCGTATTTTCAAAGTTCCCAGTAAAATGATAGAGTAATAGTTTAGCACTACAGTTTTATTCACTTACTGATATGTTCAGTTTGCAACACTATTTTGTATGTTTCTATCCCTGATAGAGTCTAGAGAGTAAATGGGCATATTATTTTGCACAGATCTCCTAATGTACAGTATTTTTAACACAGAATCTTATAGTGTATGTAACAATTCGTAAAGTTAAAAAATTATGCAAATTTTCCTTGAGTTCTGCTAGAAGAGGAATACAAGAAAATGTCATAACTGGTCACTTAGAAACTAGGAAACTTTTAGACTACAGCTTAATAGCACTACCAGTGCTGACAGATAAAATCCTGAGGACCAATAAAGAGCAGCTAAGCAAAATTTATCCCTTGATTTCCCATGTTTCTCAAAGTTTTCTCCTCTGGCAGAGAAAAAAGAAATTCTAGAGCTTGTAGATATCTATTTATAATATAAAATCAAGAATTTTAAGTCCAAAATTTTGGCATATTTCATACAACTTTTCAAATCTGATTAAAATAATGACTCAAAAATCCTGTTAATAGACAGACTATTAGGTTGCTGTGTTAACTGTTTAAAAAGGAGCAAGTGACACTTAAAATGCAGCTTAGAATGCTATGAGATGTATAATATTCAATTCTGTTGTTTTTATTTTGTTTAGTTGCAGAGCAACTGTATATATTGTATAACCTAAAATCAACTCTTATTTTCAATGTCCTGGATGCAGTGATTTATAATTAGAGCATGATTAATAAATTTTACTCTTGTCAACCAGTCTAATGTCTGGAAAAATAAAACTACTTTTAAAATCTTGGTCTGCTTCTCTTCTGTTCCTTTTACCCTTTGCTTTTGTTTTATTCTAATATCTGGGTTAAGCAGAACCCAAGCCTGTATTAAAAAATTGTTTCTCAGACAAGGAGGTATAAGTAAGTGTCAGTTTTATTTTACATTTCTACAATATTGACAATAATATACAAAACATGGTTTAGGAAAAAAAAATCATGTTAAATATAAAATTCTTGTCCTGGAACCTGAAGATGGAATAACTTCTTCAAGTCATGTTTGAGGAATGACAGAGTACCGTGTGCAAGGGTGTGTGGCTCTTTGCACAGCCAGTCTCTCTGAGGATTGTGTGGCTACAGCCAGTCTGTGGTATCACAAAGGCCCCTTGTACTACACACTCACGTGCTGCCCACAAAAATCAGGACTTCTCAGACATTAAAACTGAATCGAAGGCTGTAGATAACACTTTGCAAATGGCTTGTGCTTGTTCCTAAAAAACACAAACACACACGTTAACACTTTCTGAAGAACTTCTCAGACCTCATTTAAAGCAGAATGTGACCTTTACCCTTCCCTTGGATATGGAGTAGCACAAGTGAGACCAGATTGCATTTCTTTGGCCTGCACTGACACGGGGAAGCTGTTTTGAACAAGCTCCTTTGAAGCAAAGTTGTTGGCTGTCATCAGAGCACAGCCCAGCATTCAGAACGTCACTTCTTGTGTTCCCCCAGTGCTGCCAGCTCAGGGTCTGTGTCATCGGAGCATCCCGACAGTGGCTTCTCCTGCTCTTAAGAAGGGATCACCTCCCTTGCTTACAAAGATGACTGCATGCTCTACTACCAAAATTATTGCTTGGTCCCTCCCTGCTCTGTCCCATCATACGAGATACTTCTCTTTGAAAGTACAAGTGCAGGATTGTCCCCAGCAGCTACCACAGCACTCTTTAGATTGCAGATTTAGACTGAAAAGAGCTTTCTCAGGTGTGTACTTTCACTGGCAATTTTAGGGAATGTAGGTGTTTTCTTCAAAGCTGATGAAATGCAGGGCTGTTCTCCCTCCTCAGCCAGTGCATTTATACTTTTTTTTTTTTTTAATTGAGCAATCCTCCTTCTGCCAAAAGCCTTCACATAGGCCTGAGGTTTTAGAATCTCCCTTTACAATCAAAATTCTGATACCTAAATTAAAAACTGTAAGCATAAACTCTTACCAGACTATTGCACTGATATACCCAGAGGCTGCATTCTTCAGAGGCTGCATCTGTTGTCTTCAAAGCCAATAAACTTTTTCCTGCTCCCAGACCATCATCATAGCAGACCATCCGTACAATTAAATAGAGAGCGTGCCTGTGTAACACGTCCTGAAACCACATAGCAAATAGAAGTTACTCTGGAACAGTGCAACAGCTACTTCAGTTTTCCACATGTTTATATTCTCTCTTACGAAAGAATACTTCAGATTTATTTACAGGATAAAAATATTCCGTAGTAATTTTTTTTTTTAAAATTGAGAGTTTAAAGATTTTAAAAAGTGGCAGTTTAACACAACTTTAGCTTAAATTTTTGCTTCTATTTTAGAATTACGTTCCTGTGTGGACTATGAAGACAAGCTAAGAGTTGTTCAGCCTAGAGAAGAGAAGGCTCTTGGGAAGACCTTTAGCGCCTTCCAGTACCTGAAAGGGCTACGAGAAAGCTGGAGAGGGACTTTTCACAGAGCATGGAGTGATAGGACAAAAAGCTTTAAGCTGAAAGACAGTAGGTTTAGACTGAACTGGCACGGGTTGCTTAGGGAAGTGGTGGATACCCTATCCCTGGAGTGTTCATGGTCAGGTTGGATGGGGCTTTGAGCAGCCTGGTTTAGTGGGAGGTTTCCCTGCCCATGGCAGAGAGCTGGAACTCATCATCTTAAAAATCCCTTCCAACACAAACCATTCTATGATTCTATGACTACACTGCTGTCCATACTAGGAAAGCATGCATTCACTTTCCACCTACCCTCATTCACCCTCTGGGACAGGTGGGACACTCTGTACCTCAGGCACAGATGTAAATTAAAACAGCTTCTTACTTTTCCTGTATTTTTCCAGACAATCCCTTGTCTCAGTTCTGTACACACAAGAAACTTGTCCCAAAACAGGGTACAGACAAGGTCATTTGCTTTGGGAGGTAGCAGCCATGTGGCTGTAGCCAGGCTGTTTGTGGCCTGAGCCACAGGGTATGTCCTGATTGTTCCACAGACCTTGTCTGGGACACTTCCACTCTCCACCACCCCTGCAGGGTTTCACCATAGTCCCAACACTTCTTATTTTGGCCCTTCCAAAAAGGGGTTGGTTAAAGTCATCCAGTACAAGGTCTCTGCAGACCTACCCTACAACAAAGCCTTTCTTGTCCAGCCATCCCGCCCTCCAATCATACTCATCTGGTTTATTCCAGTCATACCATCTCCAGGGCCTTAGCAACTCAAGACAGCTCTGTTTCCATGTTCAAGGCATTGAACACCTTGGCCCTGTCAGCAGCTGAAGGGTGCTTGATACAGAAGCTGTAAAAATGGACAGTGAGCTGCTGCCTGCCACAAAACCCTCAAGGGAGAGCCCTCCACCAGAGCTCTTAAAGGTCACCTTGCTGAAAAACATCTCCCTCCCTGACGCTCACTCGGCAGTTGCTCACAATTGCTCACACCATCACCAACCATCACACCACTCCCAGGGCAGCTGGAGCCCACGTGGAACTTACTGGATCAACCTTCTAGTCTCTGTATGAAAGATGCCAAGATTGTTCACCAAATTATTAGTAACTTTCAAGAGTTACTTGCCTTGAACTTGCTACAGTGCTAACATGCATGTGGATTATCACCAGGAGAGGGAGGATGAAATTATTTGAAGTACACAGTCTCCTTCTAAATTAATTTCCTCCTCTCCTATCCCCTTGGAACTCTAAGAAAAGAGCTTAGTGAACTCACATACTAAAGGACAAATTAAATGTCAACAGTGACACAGATGCAAAAAGCCAGAATTTGGGACACAGAATGCAATGCAATAAAACTTCAATGCAAGCTAGCTTAACCACAGGCTTTATCAGCTTGTGCATGCTTTCAGCTCTAAGACAGAAAAATGATGGATGACAGTCTTAAAATTACCTACTAGATCTTTATCAAAGCACAAAGGAATTCAAGTAATAGTGTAACTTCTGTTTTAATGAGAATTAAGAATTTAGAAGGACAGCAAAAACAGAACCCCAAAAAATTCAAAGTCTGAGTAACAACTACTACCCTTCCTCCCAGGCATTAGAAACAAGTGCTTTTTTTCTGAAGGGACCAGAGGAAACTTTTTGGCTCCCTTCAGAGCATTCAGCTGTTGAGCAATGCTATTCTCTGTCCTCATACTCAAAGCTTTTATGAGCAGGCACTGCTGGGTTGTTGATGGGTCATGACTTCATAAGGCCAAGTATTTATGGTATCTGGGGCTCTGAGGGCAACCAGAAGGAAACCACACGGCTGCAATACAGAGCTACACAAAGGCAACTGGAGGGCCCTGGGGAAGAGACCGGATTTTTATTTTTAGCAAAAAAGCTACTTGAAATGCACTGAGGGAAAATCAGCAAGTAGGAAATGATGCAAACAAAAAGTAGGCTTGATCAATAAAGTGGAATCGTGAGGCTTTACTGCTGGAGTGAATTCACACTCTTGGATCAGGAATGCAAGGCTGGAACTTTAAAAAGGTGGGCAACTCAGGTATTCTTAAAAAACCCCGTCTTTTGTTTTTCCCTCTCCACAATAACACCAATGGGAACTGCAGGCTGAGGAACCATTGGTCTTGGCCACCACAGTCACACTACTTTTCCCCATGAGAGAATGGCAAGAAAGCCACAGGGAAAGGAAGATGTGCCCAAAGAGCATATACGCTTGCTTGCCTTTCTTCTGGTGCTCTATCTCAAAAGGAATGACTTTTTGTCAGGAAAATACAGAAGCCTGTGGAGATATGACGTGAAGGAGTGCTGCTGTGAGAGCTTGTTTGTTTGACTTTTGCTTAAAGTCAGAAATGACATTTTAGTCACATAGATCATCCATCAGAGAAATAAATGAAGGCACTTTTCAACTCTCATCAGAAAGACAAGTTTGTGTGAAGCACTTACATACTGATCAGATGTTGAAACTTTAATGCCATATTTGGAAACTCCCATAATAAACTCCTCTTCACCTGGAACAAAAGGTAACTTTCCATCTTGCTTTGGAGGGAAACAAACAAAAGCCTTTAGTGCAGACAGAAGAACATGAACAATGAAGATACATAACAGAAAACGTGTTTATGTGTACTTGGGTCCACTGGGACAGCAACACCACGAACTCTGCTCAGATTCTGCTGTGTGGGGTCTTCCTGCCACTCACGGCCTCATCCGGTCTCTTCACAGCATGTGAAATATATTCAGGGGAGACTGGACATTAGGAAGCATTTCTTTACTGAGAGGGTGACCAAACCCTGGAACAGGCCTCCTGGAGCGGTGGTTGATGCCCCAAGCCTGTCAGTGTTTAAGAGGCATTTGGACAATGCCCTTAACAACATGTTTAACTGCTGGTCAGCCCTGAAGTGGTTGGGCAGTTGGGCTGATGATCACTGTGGGTCCCTTCCAACTGCAACACTCTGTTCTGTTCTATTCTACTCTAAATATTACATGCTTCAAGAAAGGAATTTATCATCTCAGGGGAGAGTTTGGCCCTGTAGTCAAATCAGATCGGCTGAAAAATCATGCACAGTCTGTCATGCTGCAGTGACCCGAGGTGATCCGTGTTCCACACTGGCAGCACTTCGTTACTTGGCTGTAAAAACAGTTTTAGCATGTATTCAGATTCTTGAAATGCCAAGTTGCTGTATGATAAACAGGCATTCTGTGCTTTTAAACAATCAGCTACCTAATGAGAACAACCAGTTATGGCTTTTAGCACAAAAAGTAAGTGCAAGAAACCACAGTTTGGCAAGGATAGCCCAAATATTATTCAGGTTCTTTGGTCACAGGTTCATGAGGGATTATGAGCAGAAACTTGATGTTTTCCTCTGCAGGAAAACTTCTACAGTACTGAGGAAATCTGGAGGAGATATTCTTTCCCGGATACTAATTTTAATAGTGCTGGAGGCAACATAACAACTTTCAGCTGGGATACTGGTTCAGTAAGGACTCATGGAAAAGGCCTTCACTTCTGCAGAACGGCATTTTGGGTGCATCTTCCCAGTTACTCAACATGACAGAACTGAGTGTGATGGCTTTTGAGATTCATAGCTTAATGCTTTTTTTTTAAATGTGCTACTTTATTCAAGTAAGTCTAAAATTTACAAAAAAAGACAGATCATGTGATAATGTGAAAGGAACACACCTAAGCTTAAGATGTTCCAACATCATTGGTACTGTCTTTTGTAACCCACTTACCTGTGCAACATCTATGTAATTTATCAAGTCCAATGGCCCCTCAAGACTTTTGCTCTCATTATATTTCAATTTTTCAATGGCACCAACATATTTAACTCTGAATTCTGCGCACGTATCGGAATTACTATTGCTTTGTCCTGCAACAAAACAAAGACGTTCTGAAGACTTCCAGAATCGTAATGCTGTTCTAAGTGGTGTTAACAGGGCTATCTTATCATATTCCCTTATTTTACAGACTTTCATCAAACACTTATCACTCCTCTTTAAAGAACTGCCTTGGGCTGATTCAGAACAGCCCCTGGTAAAAGCAGCAGTTTCATATGAATCCAAGATACATCACAGTTTATACTGATTCAAATTTGGAGTTAAAAACCTTGAATCAGAAAACATAGAAAAGATGGTTCTATTTTTCTCTATCTGTTTGTTTTAAATTACCTGTTTGGCCCAACAGTGATACACTGTGATCTGGTGAGCAAGAACAAGTAAAACCAAATCTTATTTCCATTATCTCAGTGCAAACGTAAATTTGGAAAAGCAGGAAACAGCATCCAAAAAGCTATACCTGATTTATGCTGGTAACAGGCCAGTAACACAATTAAGTTTCTCTTACTCAGACACTTTACTTCAAAAACAGTGACTTAATCCTAGATGAATCATTAATAATACTTTAGAGGCCTAGGGCTATGCACGCATAAGTCACCAGGCTATCTAGATTCACTCACTATTACTGAAAATAACTATTTTTAACCTTTTCCATTTGCTGCTGTTTTATATGAACACACATAAAGTTAATCCTGCTCTATCCACATCTGCTCAACCTCTGATTACATACCTGAACTTTTTGTGGAGTCTGTATCTAGACTGGCCACAGTACTGGACCTGGAAAGTCCCCCAAGACTGGAATCTACAGACTAAGAAAAATAAACAGCATCATCAGAAAGTTACTGAGAATGTATTAACAATTCACTTCTAGATGTCCTTCCTAAACTCTTTTTTAAAAATAAAACTTGTGTTTATGCTCCAATTACTTCTGCAGCACTGTAAAATGGGGAGGAAAAAACAATGCCACCTGTTTCTTTCCTGAAATTACCTTTCTCTCTCAATGCAGATTAGACTGATATAAATTCAGCAGGAACCCTTAAAAAGTCCACAGATGTTTTGAAAGAAGGAGGAAATAAGACAAAAAGAGAAAATGAACCTTAAGGTTATGTCCACAGTTTTCTGGTGGACTGCATCTTAACTTGAAGAAATTAACAATTACATGTTTGTCACCAATGCTTGAAATAAAATGGCAGTGCAAGGGAAGTGAAACAGCACCTTGGAAAATCCAGAATAGCCTACTGATCATTGCAAAACCTACCAGACAAAATGGACACATTATTCAAAATTAATCCCTTTCAGAGTTACTCAGAAACCAACTAGTATTGAAGAATAAACTCATTCTTGGTACCTAGCACCAGGCACCTTCTTTAAAGACAAGATTTAAGAAGAAATTTTTCCTCCAAACCTAACTATGTGCTGCCAGATAATCTTGTGTTTGTGTGTTTCACCATGGAAGCAACTGAGCATTCATCTCAGAATATATGGGCTTTATAATGGATGGGTATTTTTAATTCTCACAAAAGAATCTGAGTACCAGAAGTAGAAAGTTCTCCTTGTGGAACATGGCATGTTATGGAAATCACATCCTGCCATCTGTGCAAGAGAACCATTGAACTGTCACCTTGTAACAAACAAAAGTGCTTCACAAAGAGAGAACGCACCACATTCAGCTTACCTTGCTTTTGGTGCTGATTTCACTGCTTTGGGAGCTGCTGCTGCTGTGTCGCTTTTTTCCTTTTCTAAACATCTTTTCATAACTGGATCAAGGAAGACCTTCTAGGTAGGAAAAATAAAAATTAAAGCTAGTTATATCATCAAGGGAAGGAGTTCCAGGCAAACACCAGTGACTGTGTCCAAAGGGACAAAAAATGGACACTTGTAAAGGACTCTTGGAATGGGTGTAGGAATGTTCCTCTGGTGCTCTTTGTGTGTGGCTGGAGAAAGTTCCTCAAGCTCTGTGCTAAAACTTCCCTAACCTTCTGAATCATCAAAAAATGCCACTACCTAGTTTAAAGTCTGTTGCAAAGGTCAGTTTCTAATGCACATATAGATTTAGTTTGAGAAACAAGACAAAATTTAAAATTTATATTCCCACCTAAATGCATTGATGATTTTGTGGCTAACATCTAAGTGCCCTACGAAGTGCATCCAATGCAATCCCTGCTCCAATGACTACACTTTCATGTAAAACAAACAAACAAAAAACTCAACCTTCCTCAAAAAGCTCCTAAAACCCAATCCAAACCTATTTATGAAGAACTACCGATTGGAATACTTGTAGGAGCAGTCATTACTACTTAACATACTCCTGAAAATTAAAGCAAAATGCGTATTACATTTACTGCCTTAGAAGTGAGTTGCTGGGCGTCCTGTGAGCATTCCAGAAGCATTTTCCCTGTATCTGCTCTACTACTTCAAATGCTCCACTTAACATTTGGCTGGGCAGTGTCAAGCAGCAGGATGGTGGCTCCCAGTCAGGGACTGCTGAAACCCTATTTCTCAGCCTCAGGAACGAATATTTTAATTACAAACTTCAGAAACTTTGAGCAGGCGGAAGAAAGAGGACGAAGGAAGACAGTTCACACTGCAGAAAACAATGGAAGACGCACAAGAGGGAACTTAGATGCAGTGATGGATTACAGTCCCCAGACCGCTGCTGGGTCCCTCTTTAAGCAAACACTTCGTCCCTGGCAGGCTAAAAGCCGCTCTCAGCAACAAGGCCCCGCGGTACCCGGCACACCCGCATCCCCCGGGCTGCTCCAGCCTCCAGCGAGGATCCGGCATGGATCCGGCTTGGATCCGGCAGCCCCTCCTTCGCAGCAGCTGCTGCCGCCACAAGAGCAAAGCTGCCGGCTCTGCCTGCACTCTCCGCGAAAGACACAACTCAAAGGCACAAAAGCTTAGCATGCCCTTCTTCGCGAGCGATGTTGCGGCATCAGGCGATGAGGGATCTCTCCGCAGCTCCCGGCTGAGCACACGAGTATCCTCGGTGCCTCTCTGCCCCTGCGGCTGCGGGAAGCAGCCCGGAGCACCCGGGCAGGGCAGCGCCGCATCCCGCCCCTGCTGTTCCTCCCCCCCTCCCTCTGTTCCTGGCGATCCCCCGATACCGACGGAGCGCTCACCCCGCTCCCTCAGCCCCGTCCGGCGCCGCCGCCCCGGAGCGCCGGGCCCCGCTCTCCGCTCCCGATGCCGTTCCGGGTCGCGGGGGCGGGCGCAGGAAGCGGGAGCGGGGAACGGAGAGCGGAAGGCGGGCGGGGATCGGCACCATGTCGGCCAAGCGCAAAGCAGAGGCGCTGATCCCGGCCGAGGAGAGCGACCAGCTGCTCATCCGGCCCCTGTGAGCGCCGGGACCCGCGCCCGGGAGCGGGGGGCTAGGGGGGACGGGGGTCTGTGGATGCGGTAGTGTTGGAAGTTGCTTTTCTTTCCCCGGCAGAGATGTCACTGCAGTCTGAGGATGTTTTTGTTCTCTTCTGAACAGCTAAGATGCTACTTCGGACTTATTCAGCCCGAGGTGGTTTGTTATTTAAGTAAGCTTTCCATGCCATGTACTGTCAGTGATTTGAGAGCCGAGTGCTCAGATATGCGGTAAAAACCAGATTTCCTCAAACAGATTATTTTTATTGCGTTGCATAGGGTCTCATACCCATAAATATAACTCTAGGGTCTCATATCCATAATACGACCATAAGATAAATGTAATTTCAGTTACTTTAAATATCTGATCTTAAAAGGACTGCGCAGTTGTTATTTCTGAACAGATGAATAATCCCAATGAAGGCATCCAGTGTAGAAGTTATGTATGTATGCTGTGGGCTGTTTTAATCCTCATTGACTTTGATATCCTTTTGCAGAGGTGCTGGCCAAGAAGTAGGAAGGTCATGCATTATTCTGGAATTTAAAGGAAGAAAAATAATGGTAATTATTGCATGAATGTATTTGTATGACCTCTCATTACAGTACTTCAGCTTAAATTCTCCACACTGAAATCAGACCACAGAGACTGTCCTGTAAAATAAATCCATGTACCTAAACAAAATATATATGTCCAAAGTGCAGATTCTAAAATTTTCACATTCTATGGATTAGTGGAACTTAAGGTTAATGTTTACCAACAGAATAGTCACACATAAACACATAGGTGTTTCTCATCACCATTTCCAGTGATGTTCTCAGCTGGTGGCTGAAATAAGTTGCACACTGGTTCTGTGTAGTCAGGTGGTGTTGAAGTGTGGCTGAAGGCTTGCGTGGTACAAAATTGTGAACAAAGTTTCCCAGTGGAGAGAAGTCATTTAGACAGAAGCCCAGCGATGCTGTGACCTGCTGAGCCAGTGCAGAGGAGGCCACGAAGATGGTCAGAAGGCTGGAGCATCTCTCCTTTTGGGGGGAAGGCTGGGAGTTGGGACTGTTCTCCTGGAGAAGGGAGGGCTCTGGGGAGACCTTAGCGCAGCCTTTCAGTCCCCAGAGGAGCCTACAAAGAGCTGGGGAGAGACTTATTACAAGAGCGTGTAGTGACAGGATAAGGGGGGGGGGTTAACGTAAAAGAGGAGAGATTTAGACTCGATGTTGGGAAGAAGTTCTTCACTGTGAGGGTGGTGAGGCACAGGAACAGGTTGTCCAGACAAGCTGTGGATGCACCATCCCTGGAAGTGTTCAAGGCCAGGTTGGATGGAGCAACCTGGTCTGGTGGAAGGTGTCCTGTCCATGGCAGGGGGGTTGGAACTAGATGATCTTTGATGTCCTTCACAAGCCAAACCATTCTATATGAAATCCAATGCTAAAAGCAGTGTTTATTGAAAAAAATACTTTTTTTTGCATGATGCTAAAAGTTACCAGTCCCTAATAAATACATCTTAGACCAAAATGGAAGAGGGCTTTTCGTATGTTCTGTTAGAAGCTATAACTTTCTTTCATTTTTCAGCTTGATTGTGGAATCCATCCTGGGCTGGAAGGAATGGATGCTCTTCCTTACATTGATTTGATAGATCCTGCTGAGATCGATCTGCTCCTCATTAGTCAGTAAGTTGCACCTAAAAACACAAATAACTGATGTCATGGTCTGAGCTGTGTTCACTTCTAGGATACTAAGACAGGCTGGAAATAGGTCTTATATAGATGGTATTGTAAAATGTTAGTTTCCAGCTTATTTTAAAAAAACTCTGAAGGATCTTTACTTAGGATTAAGGACTGAATGTTAAGGGTGTTCATTCACTTTTGACATTACAACTCTCCTTTGAGTTTGCTGTGATTTTTGACTCTTTTTAATAACCTGGCCTGCTTTAACATCATTGTGACAGCTTCTAGAGTGAGTTTTCTACACAAAGTAGAATGTGGTTTAAGTATTGCTTAGTGGCTGAGAGACGAGGAGAGCCATTTGTAAATGATTTAACCAGTCATAAACAGGTACCTGTAAAATCCTGAGGTTTTGTGGTATATGCTTGTTCTATCTGTATTTTAAAAGTAGTTTCTTAAGATGTGTCAAACTAAAATTGTGAACAAATAATTTAATTTTAGTAGATCATGTTTTAATCTATAGTGTGCTATAGCATGCAACATGGAAAATTAGGATCATATTTGTCAGCTGTCTTATATCTTTGATGTTGATTGTGTCGCTGGTTCCTCTTATTTTTCTCCCTCTAAATTCATATGTGAATTACAAGAGAAAGTTAATTCTGGTATTACGTAAAACCTTGGCAATTAATGGAGAATTTTCTGTATTATTCTCACTTTTTCTTGGTTGTGTTTCTAGTCACTATTGTGCAGAATACAGACCAGCACAGTTAGCAACAAGGTTGAAAATTCTGTTTCTGAATTCTCATGACACCACGTGAATTCAGTGAAGTAGTGAATTATATATGTTATATATTAGTGCTGTGTGATATGAATGTATTAACTGGATGTGTGTGTCTATTTTAAGTTTCCATTTAGATCACTGTGGGGCTTTACCGTGGTTTTTGCAGAAAACAAGTTTTAAAGGAAGGACGTTTATGACTCATGCCACAAAAGCTATTTACAGATGGCTTCTTTCAGACTATGTTAAAGTCAGGTAAGATAAACTGTGGGTTGTCTCTTCAGTTCCTGGATTATTTCACCTATATATCCAAGAGGAAATTTAAGATGAAGCCACCAAAGGTGGCTGGATGAACATAGATGTTGTCACAAGTAGCAAACATTATATATAACCAGGTTAGAAGTAATGAATCATATTACTGCCTCATGTGTCTCTCAAGTAATTTCCTATCAATCAAAAAAAATATTCCCTTCTTTTCTCTCATTCTTTTCATTTGCCTTATTTGGACTTTAGTGGTATCCCTTTTTTTCCCCATCTCTCTTAAGACACACTTTTGTTCTCATGCTTTTTAATGTAAGTTTTTTCTTAAGCTTCACTGAAGTAGTTAATTTTAAGCCCCTAAAGATGCAAGTAACTCTTCAGGACAAGGGCAGATTAAGTATGGAAAAATGTTACTTATATGTTGGGGATTTTTCTCTTTCTTTTTTTTTTTTTACCTCTTTTTCCCTTGCGTTACATGCCTTGAGACATCATTTCTATGAGACTGCAATGAGCATATCTCAACTCAGCAGATTTGAGCCTGAGTGAGAAACCCGATAAACAGTCCTCTTTTAACTTGTTTGTCCTGGGCTGATGGGAAAAGTGTGGATCAGTGTGGTTTTTCAGGACTGTTACAAGCTAAATGGCAGATCTCTGGGCAGGGCTGGGGATCTCTTGGTACTTTTAGAGAAACACAGAGCAGATTCTGAACTGAGAAGGGTGTCCCAGCATGGCCTTTCAAAAGAAAGCAGCTTTAACTCTCCTTAGGTGAGCTACATCAGAGTACCTGGACTTGATTCTAACACAGGAGACGTGGGCTGGAAGTCTTACTGTCAGTGGGGAAAAATCAGGAAGTGTTTTTTCCAGCTGTTAGGATGAACTGATACTCAGCCACTTCACTTCTATCCAGTAACATCTCAGCGGATGACATGCTGTACACAGAGACAGACCTCGAAGAGAGCATGGACAAGATCGAGACCATCAACTTCCATGAAGTGAAGGAGGTGGCAGGAATCAAATTCTGGTGTTACCACGCAGGCCACGTCCTGGGAGCAGCCATGTTTATGATTGAAATAGCTGGTGTGAAGGTATTTTATTTTCATTACACAAGTTGATATTAAGCCTCAATTCTAATGTAGTGATTAAATATTTATTATTGCATATTAAGTCCCACCACTGTGGCTGGAGCTGTCAAATGGACTTGGATTCAAATCAGGGTGGGAGGCCTTGATCTAGGACAGGTATTTAATGTCTTTGAGTCAC